TAGGACAATACCTAGGGAAGTCGTAAGAAGTGTTATATAGAATGAAGAAAGATGTAGGTCTATAATATCATAAATTAACAATAAATGAAATTTGGGAATTCTTATTTGAAACTAGCTTAATTGGCTTACTTTTCTGGGTGCTCAATTTCCGAAGATGGAAATTGATGATATAGAATTGTACTGCAAAATTATTTTGTCGCTCAGCACTAATTTATATTCGGAGCAAGAGAAGAGAGATAGGTAATAATCATTTCTGGACAGGCTTCCTGTGGTTCTTATCTTGGAAGGAGACTCTTCTGCTAACACAGGAAGGAAAGATTAGTTCCCCAAACTGTACTTTGAAGGGAAGAAACTCTATGATGGCATAAGCTGCATTTGCAAATAATGCTTTTGAGGGAACAAGGTAGCACTATATACTTTTCTTGCCATTAAAATATATCTTCTGAACTAGCAACTGCAATTAAAATTTTTTTAAAAAACCTGGATCTAGAAGGCGACTGTGCATTGAAATAGGAGTCCTCGATGGTGCAAACTGTTAAGCACTCTACTACTAGCTCAAAGGTTGGCGGTTCAAACCCACACAGAGGCGCCTCAGAAAACAGGCCTGGCAATCTGCTTCCAAAAGGTCATAGCCTCGAAAACACTATGGACTAGTTCTACTCTGCATACGTGGGATTGCTTTGAGTCGGTATCGACTTGAAGGCACTAACAACAACAACACAACAACATAAATTATGGTCTCTATCTTCTTGAAATTTTTTTTTATTGTTGTAGTTAAATGAAGTTTACATTTCAAGTTACTCTCCCATACAAAATTTTACACATACATTGTTATGTGACCCTAATTGCTCACCCCATTCTGTGACAGCACACTCCTCCTTTCCGCCCGATTCCCCATGACCATTCAACCAGCTCCTAACCCTCTCTGCCTTCCCATCTCACCTCTGGACAGAAGCTATCCCTTTGGTCTCTTGTATCTACTTGACTGAGAGGCACACTCTTCACAAGTATCACTTTATATCCCACAGTCCAGTCCAATCCCTTTCTGAAGAGTTGGGCTCAGAAATTGTTTTAGTTCTGGGCTGATAGAGAGTCCAGGGGCCATGCTTTCCGGGGTACCTCCAGTCTCAGTTAGACCATTAAGTTTGGTCTTTTTACTAGAATTTGAGTTCTGCACCCCATCCTTCTGCTGCTCCATCAGGGACTCTCTGTTGTGTTCCCTGTCAGGACGTTCATTGGTGGTAGCCTGGCACCATCTAGTTCTTCTGGTCTCAGGCTAACGAAGTCTGTGGTTTATGTGGCCCATTCTGTCTCTTGGGCTAATACTTTCCTTGTGTCTTTAGTGTTCTTCGTTCTCCTTTACTCCAG